AATCACCGAGATTCAATGACAAAGGAACAGATAGGCGCAACACATCAAGGAACTCTTGAATAAGCCAGTTCCATCGAAGCAGCACACACCAATCTTCCTAAGAAGTCAGCATGGCTGCCAGATAAACCAAGAGTGAGAAAGCAGCAGAACCTGACAATATACCAGCTGAAGCACTTAAGTCAGACGGAAGTAACTGCAAGTATGCTCCACGTCCTATTCATGAAAATTAGGGAGAAAGAACAAGTTCCGATGGACTGGAGAGAATGGCAACTCATCGACACACCAAAGAAACGAGATCTGGGTAAATGTGAGAAATATAGAGCAATCACACTACCATCAGTACCAGAAACAACTTTCGAAAGTGCTGCTTAACCGGATAAAGATTCAGTAGACTCCCAGCTTCAAGACCAATAGGCCGGATTCCGTAAAGATCGGTCATGCACAGATCAAATCGCAACACTACAGCGAGCCGACGCATTCCAGGTGCGGACCGGAGTCAACCAAGATAGGGAAAGACAAACAATGTAGCAGCAGCATCCGCATCAGTAGGCCTCAACATGCACAAGTGTAAAAACAAGAACCCCAGACACAACACAGAGAACATCAACACAATCTCATTTGGTGGAGAAGCTTTGGACCAGGTGAAATCTTTCGCGTACCTGAACAGTATCGATGGTGAACGTGTAGAGCGCTAACTTGGGATCGTGAAGGGAAACGAGAACGAAGAAGGCCAATGAGCACATAACTTCGGGAAATAGAAACAGACATGAAAATGATGAATAGCAACTGAAAAGGATTGACCAAGACAGCATTGCATGGAGAATGTCGGTGGACAGCCAAAGGACAGAAAAAGTCACGATACAAGGTGAGTACATAGGCAAACAAGCAAGTGTAGATCAGCATTAGAGCCGATAAGCAGAAAGATGTGAAACACCTATCAACGACAGTGGAAAAGCTGCAACGGAAGGAAATATGAAACAACGAAGAAAATAGCAGGAAAATATAGTGAACCAGAGAACAGTCAAGGACAAAGAAGGTAAATCAATCACCGAGATTCAATGACAAAGGAACAGATAGGCGCAACACATCAAGGAACTCTTGAATAAGCCAGTTCCATCGAAGCAGCACACACCAATCTTCCTAAGAAGTCAGCATGGCTGCCAGATAAACCAAGAGTGAGAAAGCAGCAGAACCTGACAATATACCAGCTGAAGCACTTAAGTCAGACGGAAGTAACTGCAAGTATGCTCCACGTCCTATTCATGAAAATTAGGGAGAAAGAACAAGTTCCGATGGACTGGAGAGAATGGCAACTCATCGACACACCAAAGAAACGAGATCTGGGTAAATGTGAGAAATATAGAGCAATCACACTACCATCAGTACCAGAAACAACTTTCGAAAGTGCTGCTTAACCGGATAAAGATTCAGTAGACTCCCAGCTTCAAGACCAATAGGCCGGATTCCGTAAAGATCGGTCATGCACAGATCAAATCGCAACACTACAGCGAGCCAACGCATTCCAGGTGCGGACCGGAGTCAACCAAGATAGGGAAAGACAAACAATGTAGCAGCAGCATCCGCATCAGTAGGCCTCAACATGCACAAGTGTAAAAACAAGAACCCCAGACACAACACAGAGAACATCAACACAATCTCATTTGGTGGAGAAGCTTTGGACCAGGTGAAATCTTTCGCGTACCTGAACAGTATCGATGGTGAACGTGTAGAGCGCTAACTTGGGATCGTGAAGGGAAACGAGAACGAAGAAGGCCAATGAGCACATAACTTCGGGAAATAGAAACAGACATGAAAATGATGAATAGCAACTGAAAAGGATTGACCAAGACAGCATTGCATGGAGAATGTCGGTGGACAGCCAAAGGACAGAAAAAGTCACGATACAAGGTGAGTACATAGGCAAACAAGCAAGTGTAGATCAGCATTAGAGCCGATAAGCAGAAAGATGTGAAACACCTATCAACGACAGTGGAAAAAGCTGCAACGGAAGGAAATATGAAACAACGAAGAAAATAGCAGGAAAATATAGTGAACCAGAGAACAGTCAAGGACAAAGAAGGTAAATCAATCACCGAGATTCAATGACAAAGGAACAGATAGGCGCAACACATCAAGGAACTCTTGAATAAGCCAGTTCCATCGAAGCAGCACACACCAATCTTCCTAAGAAGTCAGCATGGCTGCCAGATAAACCAAGAGTGAGAAAGCAGCAGAACCTGACAATATACCAGCTGAAGCACTTAAGTCAGACGGAAGTAACTGCAAGTATGCTCCACGTCCTATTCAAGAAAATTAGGGAGAAAGAACAAGTTCCGATGGACTGGAGAGAATGGCAACTCATCGACACACCAAAGAAACGAGATCTGGGTAAATGTGAGAAATATAGAGCAATCACACTACCATCAGTACCAGAAACAACTTTCGAAAGTGCTGCTTAACCGGATAAAGATTCAGTAGACTCCCAGCTTCAAGACCAATAGGCCGGATTCCGTAAAGATCGGTCATGCACAGATCAAATCGCAACACTACAGCGAGCCGACGCATTCCAGGTGCGGACCGGAGTCAACCAAGATAGGGAAAGACAAACAATGTAGCAGCAGCATCCGCATCAGTAGGCCTCAACATGCACAAGTGTAAAAACAAGAACCCCAGACACAACACAGAGAACATCAACACAATCTCATTTGGTGGAGAAGCTTTGGACCAGGTGAAATCTTTCGCGTACCTGAACAGTATCGATGGTGAACGTGTAGAGCGCTAACTTGGGATCGTGAAGGGAAACGAGAACGAAGAAGGCCAATGAGCACATAACTTCGGGAAATAGAAACAGACATGAAAATGATGAATAGCAACTGAAAAGGATTGACCAAGACAGCATTGCATGGAGAATGTCGGTGGACAGCCAAAGGACAGAAAAAGTCACGATACAAGGTGAGTACATAGGCAAACAAGCAAGTGTAGATCAGCATTAGAGCCGATAAGCAGAAAGATGTGAAACACCTATCAACGACAGTGGAAAAGGCTGCAACGGAAGGAAATATGAAACAACGAAGAAAATAGCAGGAAAATATAGTGAACCTGAGAACAGTCAAGGACAAAGAAGGTAAATCAATCACCGAGATTCAATGACAAAGGAACAGATAGGCGCAACACATCAAGGAACTCTTGAATAAGCCAGTTCCATCGAAGCAGCACACACCAATCTTCCTAAGAAGTCAGCATGGCTGCCAGATAAACCAAGAGTGAGAAAGCAGCAGAACCTGACAATATACCAGCTGAAGCACTTAAGTCAGACGGAAGTAACTGCAAGTATGCTCCACGTCCTATTCATGAAAATTAGGGAGAAAGAACAAGTTCCGATGGACTGGAGAGAATGGCAACTCATCGACACACCAAAGAAACGAGATCTGGGTAAATGTGAGAAATATAGAGCAATCACACTACCATCAGTACCAGAAACAACTTTCGAAAGTGCTGCTAAACCGGATAAAGATTCAGTAGACTCCCAGCTTCAAGACCAATAGGCCGGATTCCGTAAAGATCGGTCATGCACAGATCAAATCGCAACACTACAGCGAGCCGACGCATTCCAGGTGCGGACCGGAGTCAACCAAGATAGGGAAAGACAAACAATGTAGCAGCAGCATCCGCATCAGTAGGCCTCAACATGCACAAGTGTAAAAACAAGAACCCCAGACACAACACAGGAAACATCAACACAATCTCATTTGGTGGAGAAGCTTTGGACCAGGTGAAATCTTTCGCGTACCTGAACAGTATCGATGGTGAACGTGTAGAGCGCTAACTTGGGATCGTGAAGGGAAACGAGAACGAAGAAGGCCAATGAGCACATAACTTCGGGAAATAGAAACAGACATGAAAATGATGAATAGCAACTGAAAAGGATTGACCAAGACAGCATTGCATGGAGAATGTCGGTGGACAGCCACACTACGAGAAGTGACAGGCCTAAGTAAATCTCATCGAGTCCTAATATCAAACCTGCCTTTCAGGATATAAACACGCACCTACTGCATCGTCACATGGTGTGTCTATTTGCATCTTAGATTCCACCGATGCTAAATTCAAGTATACTTAGGAAAGACCAGTCTTTCAGTGGGTGCATTTGAGTCCAGTCTTCTGATAACGAAACTTTACAAAAACCACCTACCTGACCAATAAATGTCTATCATCTCAAAAGCGTACTGGGGTATTTGGTTGAGTTTCAGAAACGAACATGTCTAAACTAATTCTACTGAAAACACCTTGTCATTCTAATAAAGTCACGATGAACAGTGACACATGGCTCAAGTATATTGGTGGCTTTCTACAAACGCAGCTATTACCACTACGATATATTGTAATATCCATGGTATTTGAATCAAAATGAGTGCAGCCAAGAAACCAAATTAAAATCTCATAATAGGTTTTTCATAGCCTTAAGTGAAATTGCGAAGATAATACTTCTCACACTGAGATAGTCAAATTAACACTTTTCATGGATTTTTGTACATATATTTCATAAATTTGAACACTCGACTCAGACTGATGGAATTCGGGGGCGGTTAAAGTAAATCGTGGGACTAGTCCATAAATTCACTGGTACGAGCCATGTTGTTAGATGCAGACCACTTGGTTCGGGTCAGCTCGACTACCATAACCAGTGGTTGGAAAATGGGTGACATGGCACACGATCGACCAGTGGCGCACGCACTCTGTCTTGCCTTAAACCGTGAGATTAAAATTACTTTATGCCCTTCATTCTACCAAATACTCCTTTCCGCCTCGATTATATCCTTACATGCAATCTTTTTTGCATTACTGGAGTAACTGATATGAATTCGGTGCTGATCTTGGTGCGCTAATGAAGTAAGACAACTTGGACCGACGCATATATGTACTTGGTCCTAAGTTGTAGATGACTAACTGACATCCAACACAACTAACGAACTTCATAAACTAGAACTCATCAAAACAGTGTCGAAAGCCATGTATCGATACTAAAATTATAGGATTTTTCAACCTATGACACGAAATTGGATTTATACGTTCATCTTTACTTTGCTCGAAATTACAATGCTACTGTACACCAACCGGGTATCCTTTTTGTTCAAATTATTGGTGGCTTGCTCCTAGTTGCCCAAAAAGATAAGCTGAAGCAGAAAAAATACTAAGAAACGGGACGTATTATATTGGCTTTATTTTGAAGTGCAATCCAATTAGCGAGAACACCAGACACTTCAGGTCCTGAACTAGGTAGTAATATGTTCTTAATCCTTCAGGATCCCTTTGTTTAAAATTAGATTAAATGAGTCACTCACTTGCTATTCGTTATGTCAATCAAAGATCCTATTTTCGAAGTTGTGAAAGATATGTGTTCATCGCCACAAACAATTTCAAGCTCTTGACGGCCAACTCTATCAGGTACTGGCCACGAAGCATCATCTTCCGACATAATATCACTCTCCAACACGATTCTCTTCAGTTCTTCCATTACAGAAGGGCTTACGTACGCCTGGAGTATCATTTGAATTATAAAGTAATGGTACCTCTTTCCGAATCATTGTGTCATTTTTATAATTAGAGTTGTTAGCATATCTAAGCTTGCCTAAAAAAATCTACAAGTAAGAAATCTGTACCTTCAGGTCTGAACTCGAACTCAAGAAATTCATGTCCAAACTTGCCCTTATGACCAACGTAGTATCGCAAATAAAATGAGCTTGCCATCGGTCAACCACTTTTTTTGTAATTATCTCTATGTTGTCTCGACAGACGACCAGAATTTTTCCGAACACTACCTACATATAAAGAGACGAGTTAATTGGGTTGTAGTACCAAGCAACTTGAGTGATGAGTACGGGGAGATTTTGGAAACACCTAATTTCGTACTATACTGATTCATATAAACTGCCAATGTGTTTGAATTAGTAAGAATGTACATTACATATAGAAACGACATTCAAGATCTGCATAGAACGCAACTGTCATACGCGAATGAGGTTTTGGGAGTTACTTCTACCAGGAAAGGTGAAAACGATAGAATGTATGACAAGGTAACACATAATTCCCGAAAGGAATTCACTCATAATGTGAAAACGCCTATTTGAAAAAGTCCTTTGCGCCTGACTAACACATAAAATATGCTGTTCTTTAACTAAATTTATAGTCAACTGATAGATCTCCCTTTCATTATATAACGACGAAAACAATAAATACCCACACCCAATCGTCCAGACAAATCCCGCCTTACCAGACAGAACAATGTCTACTGCCGAAAGCACGACCTTGGCAGTTGCATTAAACAGTTACGATATTATGACGTTACGAAAACTTAACCCATTCATTTATTAATTTTCCTTGTTGAATAAATCCTATGAAGAGCAACGTAAAATTACTTAGCGTATAATTACTCGTCATCGCGATATTATTTTATCTGCACAGTGTAAACAATTAACTGAATACCACTATAATTAGCTGTCATGGTTCGTTTACAAGCATATGCGGCATGTGAACTATCTAGTGTGTTATGTTTGTTCAAAATATCAACCACTCGTAATTTCAGCTCCCAAGTACTGAAAACACGTATTCTTGCAAGATCTGCACCTAATATAGCAAGGATTAGATCAATCAACAACTGAAAATACAAATTCTTGCTTTATCACTAAAATTTCTTACCCCAAAATACACTATGAACTGGTTTCTGTTATCTTTTCATAAACTGCCTGCTTTATTCATAACTGCCGATTATCCTTCATCGCACGAGAAGAAAGCATGCCAAAAGCTTACGGTAAGCTTGGATTATAAAACTTTTGTGGTCTTATATCGCGGTACTTTATCCTTTAATATGCTGATATCCTACCATTCTCTGCTTCTGGATCTATTAGCTTTTAAATCATTGAATACCAAGGGTTTCGGACAAAATTTTTGTTGAAGCCTAGGTATTTCTGACCCCTGTGATGCCGTATTAAAAATCAACCGCATCAAACCTAATAAACTGCGAAATTACGAAACTAAATCATTCAGATTTCACCATTGCTTTCGAAAATTGTTTACTGTCTTTCTGACTAGTCCCAGCACAATTGCCATGCGCCACCATTATGCATACTAATCAGTAGTGATTTTTTAGTGACATGCAAAAATGACTACCGTATACGAACAACACAAGTGATTAATATCTTCAAGCGAACATGATTAACAAATTTGTAGTGCTATAAATTTTGAAGTTTATCCATCGGTGCCGAGGTCGGGACTTATTACTGTTATTATCTGCCCGGCCCTGCCGGTTCGTTTGACTTGTGTCTCATGGATCAGTGCACGTGTATATCGTGATTGAAACAACGGGAGGTAACATGTCAACCAAACGTATCAATGTTCTTTGTTGAACTTAATAATTTAGAGGCTCACATGAAGTTTACTTGTAAAGGACAAAAGATTTTCTGTGCAAGATGGTGTGGTTCGTGACTGTTAACGATAAAATTGTGACATGAACAGCCGTTTGTACCCTTTCATCACATTAATTGTAGAATATGTTTACAGGATATCATCCCAGAGTTGAATATTGACCATTCGTATATCAATCTGGAAAACGCCGTTGGACAAGTTGATTTATTTGGTTACCTGGTAGGTGATGTATTGCTCTCTTGCGATTATCATTGCCTAGCACATGTGGTTTCCATATGTAAGAGGGCAGGTCTTGTTTCAAACGCATTACAGCATAATCAAACCGACTTGCGATCTGATGACACAGTCATTCTCTCGAACCATCAATCTGGGTAGTAGAGTGATTCTGCTGCAAACCGTATACGACAATGTCACACCTGCTTTGAACCTGACAGTGATTTACACCGATATTATATGCCTGAAGTCAGAGTAACAATCCTGGTTACATCTCACGTTGTTTTCGAAAATTGTTGAATATTTAACGTTTCAACTAACATTCAGCTCTCCCCGTTTATCGTCTCATCAAGATAAACTTCAGGTTATAGATATATAATCCATCACTATGCCACTTATATTTGTGGTCTCTAAGCCCTCTTGATTGAAGCAACTTTTGACAACCAGTTTGTAATCAGCGGTTAGAGTATAACAGAAGAATGAAAAAAATTCACGGGTCAGAATTGTGAAAAAAAATTGTCTATCTGACAAGTGTGAGTGCTACGTTTGAAGGGATTACGAGTTCACCTAGTTTGTGAACGGAATAAAAACTATGTGACCAAAAACCAATAAACTAGCTATTATGTTGCGTCCCAGCCCCGCTGAAGTTCGAAAAAGGGGAAATATATTTTGCAAGCAGCTAGAAGCTCGAGTAGTGAGACAGGTACAAACCAAAAGTTTATATACAGCGTAAAAGTGTCTATGAGAAACGCTACGAAGTGGCATACTAAAAGATACAACGAACCAATAGCGTTTAAAACTCTCCCAAGTAGGAAATATGACATGAAGCTGAAAATGAATGCTTTTTGCACGAAAACAAGAAATTCATATTTTTCAATGATATTGGAAAAACAAGGTACTTATCAACTGAGTTCTGTGGATCTAACAATGAAGAAAAACGCGAAACACCACCAGAGACCAAAACCTGTTCCCAGCATGACATTGGGTTGGTAAAACATCTACTAAATTAGCTAGTACCTCAGAATATCTCCTCAGTCGCCTTGTTAAAGGTGCCTCGCTGCTACTACATTAATCCTTTCTCGGAATCTTGCTTTGAGTGCACATCTATGGACTTTATGATGCTAGGAACAAACTCGGTATACGCGTTTTCTCAAGGTCATAGTTCACAAAATGCGTTCCACTAGTCGGCTTTATAATAACTATAAACTTAAAGAGTCGTATTGCATAAATAGTTTGTACGACCACAATCCCAACACAATTATGCCGAGCCTGGATCTGGTGTTTAACATGGACGCCATGTCACATTGGAAAATACTTTAAAGACTGTACAAACATAGCATAAACCTAATGATTAACGCTCGAAGACATCTGCATGAATGTACTGTTGTTCAGTTTTACTGATTATATCTATTTAACAACCCTACATGGAAGCCAACAAATGTGGTAATTTTATAGATAATGCCTGTAAAAATGGTGAGTACCTGCCCCTACAGAAATACATTATTATAACCTTGTGATCATCATGAAAATTTTTAAAGGACAACAACTGATCACGACTTAAAACGACAAACTGTAACCTATATATTACTACAGAAAGGAATTCGAGGCAAGATAATAATAATTTATTCTCAAATGACACTTTGTTACATGGGGCATACCAATTTAACGGGCAAGATCAAATTGTTACAAAAGATACAATTTTCACCGTAGTAAATTACACGGCTGGGTTTATATTTTAAAAGATATGAATGTAGATGGTTTTATTAAGAATCGTATTTTCAGTACCACATTTGTCGCGCTCTATGAAGGTTGCGTCGCGACGTGCGACAGCAGCAATACAATAATGTCGTGAAATGTTTTGCGCTACTCCATGTTTAGACCAAAATAGACTTCAAGTTCAGCCTGTCTTATTTTTCCTATCTTGCAATTGTATTAGTTACTTCTTCCACACTATTTCTTCACTTGAAGTAGACAGGTAACTCACTGGACCTATCGATACTGTTCAACTAAACTCGGTCGCTAAGGGACACTCACTACCACCCTAAAATGTCAAGAGAACCGCACAATCGACTGCCTACTACCAGTGATCTTGCATCTATGGAGCCTGTTACCCATCAACTGGTTAGGTCAACACAAAATAACGTCAGCACCAAGTTAATGTGGGTTTCTTCCTGTTTATCCTGTATTAGCTTTTTACTCTTCTGTACACTATATTGGCTAGCAATTCATATTATTTATCCACTCGTTACCTTATCTACAACTCATATACTTCTATACCTTTTCCGCCTGCATTAATAAACAACTACCCTATATTCTACCCTTCTTAGTGCTTATACTCTGTTTGGCAAACTATACTTTATACTATAGTCAACAGAAGCACTGCATCGATGCCTTACCCACAGTCCATAACTTGTAACTGCCTGGTAATCTTGTAAAACGGTACTTATAGAGATAGTGTCTTCCAACATGTTGTGAAACACAGAGGATTGTGTGAGGTATGACATATATCCAAAAATAAGCTTAAATGAGCCTAACATCACAAAAGGAGGGAGGGTGGAGTTACTGACCACCAAGCATTGATGATGAGGGCGATGACTTCGACCCACCCATGTTTATGGGGGCAGAACATTTTGTATGTATCAGGTTCTTTATAACTGAGAATAAGTCAATCAACCTGTGAAATAGACTGTCTTCCTACGCTCACCACTCAGGCTAATGTTTCCAATATTATGCTGGATTAGCTATTCTACTAAGACAACCTATAACATACTAACTCGGAATTTTACACTAGGATTGTATGGTTGTCATCGGATGGACAAAAACGAAAAGAGAGAAAAAAATAGAGGACAAAAGATATAGTCATTAGTATTCTCAACATTTCACCCTTTATATGCACACCCTCTTCCAATAAACCGCTTTCCTTGTACCACCCATGACTTCCCTTCCTTCATGTGAGATTGCTCCAGCTTGTTAAACGACACAACTCATTGTTCTTCTCTGAATTATCTGAGGCTTTGATAATTGTGCACGACGACGTCACCCGTTTCATCTGTTTTCGGTGGTATATCTCAAGAGGGCTGAAAAATGGCACGAGAAAAAGAAAGGACAAGAAGCAGAACATATAATATTCACGAAGGAATAGTTAAGGTATGACTAATCAGTCTAATTCTATTATGTTAAAGTATTTGTTAAGTAAGAGCATTCTAATCAGTCAAAGAAAATTAGTGTTAACAAAGTGTGAGTGGATGAACAACTGTCAAACGGAGCCCATGCTTTGGCGATACTCGCCTCTACGTCAGCATCCGGTTCTACACGTTCACCGATGGTGCTGTCCAGGTACGTGAAAGATTCCAACTGGTCCAGAGCTTCTCCTCCAAATGAGATTGTGTTGATGTTCCCTGTGTTGTGCTTGAGGTTCTTGTTTTTACACTTGTGTATGTTGAGGCCTACTAATGCGGAGACTGTTGCTTCACTAGTTGTCTTCATCTGCATTTGCTCGTCTGCATGGAAGAAAAGAACCAGGTCGTCTGCGAAATCCGAATCTTCTAGTTGATTCCGGGCTGTCCATTATAGTCCGTGCTTCCCTCCAGATGTCGAGGTTTTCATAATCCATTCAACCACCATAAGAAAGAGAAAGGTTCGTGTGCATGGGATAGAATAGCCAGGTTGTTAAAATTCTCTCTTATTAC